TTCATTCTTGCTTTGGTCCAGTACTATGCTCCTATTCCTCCTTTTAGAATGGTAATGTGTATTCTGTGCCAACGTATGTTGGAAGTATATGCTCTGTTTTTTGATTTTTGTCTTACATGGGTTGCAATTAAGAGATTGTCAAGAGTTTCAGAAGAGACCTTGAACTTTGGACTTTTAAACAGTGTTGATACTGTGGTAGACTATGGGGGACTTCTGAAGTTGGACTGGATGCATTTTTGTGTTATAATATAGCTACAAGCCTACGAGGACCTTGGAGTGGAATGTGGTAGTGTGAATATGGATGGCCCTCCTGGGCTCACATATTTGAATGTTTGGTCCGCTGGGGAGTAGAACTGTTTGATAGGATTAGAAGAATTAGGAGGTGTGGTCTTGTTGGAGGAAATATGCCACAGGGGGCTTTGCAGTTTCAAAAGCGCATGCCAGGCCCAGTCTCTCTCTCTCTCTCTCTCTCTCTCTCTCTCTCTCTCTCTCTCTCTCTCTCTCTCGCTGTGGATTCAGGATGTAGCTTGCAGCTACTGCTCCAGAATCACACATTCCTCTGTGCTTTCCATAGTGGTGATGATGGATTAAACCTCCAAAACTGTAAGAAAGCCCCCAGTGAAATACTTTCTAAGAATTGCCTTGGTCACGGTGTCTCTTGGTCACGGTGTCTCTTCACAGCAATAGAACAATGGCTAAGACATTGCTCCACCCCCAATCAAAATCCACCTTTCTGGTGACCAACTCTCCTGGTTCTCTGCTTTCTGCTATGTGGCAGCTAGTTCTTCCGACACCTCAGCCCATACGGGTTTTTAAATTGTGCGGTGCGTGTTTATTTCCGCTAGCTGTTCTAGAGACGGTGATGTGCACTGGGGACTGGTTAGGAGGATTTTGTCAACAAGATTCTGTAGTCATGCAGTCTTTCTCTGCATTCAGGTAGCAGCAGTCCCCAAATCATGCCATGGTTCTGCTTCATTCTCAACAAAATTGTTCAGGATCAAAACAGGAGAGGACACAACTACATTTTATCTACGAATCAGATCTTTTTCTCTCTTTCCATACGCTCCTCCCACCAGCATTTCTAGCTGACTTTGCTTTCACCTTAATTTTCCTCATCCCCCCCCGCCCCGCCCCCCCCCTATTGCGGTCCACTTTCTGTGATCTCTTTTAGGTCACGTTTTGTCAGTCTGATGGGGATTTTATTTAGGGATTATTTTTATCCTACCCAAAGCATATAAACCATACTGAAGCCTGACATTTGTCAAAAGGTCTGAATCTGAAGCTAAAATAACATGTAATACAATGATGTGTAATTTGAGTGGTATTTCAGTTCTGTTTCTCACAGTACCTGAACTTTCTCCCCCTCAATTTTTTCTCACAAAACATCTATTTGTCAGGAATTTTCTATTTCAAAGTTTTCATTTCCTATGATGGGGGCTTGTTTTGTGAGTAGCCTGGGAGAAAAGACACATCTTCATACTTTAACACTAGACAACCCATAAGGACTATTGAACTATTTCTGTTTGCCGTAGGTCCTTCCCTCCGAAAAGGAAATAAACAAACAAACAAAAAAAACTTAGTAGTAAATTTTGTGTTGTTTCTTTGACTCCAGCCCCAGGTAAAGATGGGAGTTTTTCTACATGCTTTCGTTCCTAGCAACAACAACAACAATTCAGTGTCCTTCGTGGCATCATAGGTAGGGCAGACAGTTGTTTCGATAGCAGATGTAGAAATGAAAATAACAGTGCAAAGATACTGAGCTGAGCTGGCCGGATTCAAGAATGCCACATGTTCAAGTCCAGCTGTGGGAAGATGCTCTTGATCCGGAAAGATGGCTCTAAAGGTAAAATCTCTTGCTCTGCAGGCATAAGTTCAAATCCCCAATGACCGTGTAAAAAGCTGGGTATGGTTGTGTGTGTCAGTTCTAGCTCTGGGCAGGGGACAGGTGGATCCTGAGAGATTGGCCAGCCAGCTTAGCCAAAAGAGGGGTGATGCGGAGAATTGTCTGTATTCTGTCAATCATGTATTTTAATAAAATGCTGATTGGCCAGGCAGGAAGTATAGGCGGGTCAACCAGACAGGAAGTAGAGATGGGGCGATGAGAACAGGAGAAAGCTAGGAAGGAGGAAGCGCATTCCTCCATTCCTGCCCAGACCACCAAAGAAGCAACATGTGAGCTGACAGCTGAAAAAGGTACCAAGCCATATGGCTAACACAGAGTAGAATTATGGGTTACCATAAGATGTAAAAATTAGTTAATAAGAAGACTGAGCTAATGGGCCAATCAGTTTATAATCTTATGGAGTCTTGTGAGTGATTTTCTTTGGGACTTGACGGTTGTGGGATACCAGGTGGGACAGATACCCCAACAAGCCGGCCGTCATGTTATAGAGGGGGCTTCGATTGATTTAGTGAGAGATCCCCTCTCAAGGCAATAAGATGAAGAGGACACCTGGAGTCCTGCTCTGGGTGCTACATGCACACACACAGGTGCAGACACATAGATGCACACACACAGGTGCTCACACCCACCCGCCCACTCACATACACACACACAATAACAACAAATACATGACATTCTTTCTTAACTCTAAGCTCAAGTAAAGGTCTGAGAATCTGTAAAGCCGCATGGAGTCAAGGTCTCTGTTGGTAGACTGGTGTAGTGTAATGGGCAATACAACCAATAGAGTCAAGAAGAATAAGCACCCAAGAAATGTCACAGAGGAAGGACGTCTTAGTCAGTGTTCTATTGCCACAAGCAGATACCATGACTATGGCAACTCTTATAAAAGAAAGCATTTATTGGGGCTGACTGACAGCTTACATAAATTTAGTCCATTCTCATCATTGCAGTGAGCATGTTGGCATACAGGCAGCTATGGTGCTAGAGAAGAAGCTAAGAGTTCTACTTCCAAATCCACAGACAACAAGAATAGAAAGACACTGGGCCTGGCTTGGGCTTTTGAACGCCTAGAGTCACCTCCAGTGACACACAACAAGGCAAAGACTAATCTCTCTCAGGTAGTGCCACTCCCTGATGACCAAGCATTCAAATAGTGAAGCCTCTGGGAACCATTTGTATTCTAACCATGACAAGGGATGTATGATCGATGCCGTTAGGAGCTAGAAAATGAAAGAAAATAGAGTACAAAGATTGGAGAGAGGGTGTGCATTCAACAAAGCATCATAATTTATTAAAGAGATTCAAGAATACAAATTACCACGAACAAGAAGTCCATGCTGCCCAAAGTAGAAACTGAATGCATGCATGTGTGTGCACATACATACTCAGGAGGAACAGAGCCCAGAATTAGCTGTCCTTCCACCACCTCAGATGACAGCACTATTAATGTGTAGCAGGCGACCTAACTAGCAGCTTGTATTTAGAGTGTGTATACAAATCTGTCACCAGCTACTTAGTGTTGCCCAAAGAGAACAAAAGGGATTTCCACTGCTCTTGGCAGAGTTGCTGCCATAAAAGTTATTCATGATAATTCTGTCAATTATGATGTGAATAGACGCATTTATGAATTCAGATGTCTGTTTACACAAGCGATCAAGTGCAGTGACTAAACATTGTCCGCTGTATAATATTGGGCCCAGTATTTAGTAGGCTGTGTAATCAAATGGTCACGTTTTGGCATAAGGACTAAGTAATAATGTCTAAAACACCTGGGAGAGCATTTGGTACAGAGTAAGTGCCTTTTTAATTAAAATTTATTTGTTTTTATGTGTATTGGTATTTTGCCGGGACATATGCTTGTGTGAGAGTGTCAGATCTTAAGAGTTACAGTTTTAGCTGTCATGTGGCTGCTGGGAATTGAACTCAGAACCTCTAGGCAGAGCAATCAGTGTCCTTAATCCCTGAGCCATCTCTCCAGCCCAGAGTAAGTGCTCTTAACATTATTCTGACTTTTAGCCAGGTCACTGAGCAAATTAATCTCGAGTCTTAGAGATGCCGGAGGATTTCTACAAGATGTATATCAGAGTAAAGTTTATTAAGAAAAATGAGGGTGGGATGGACAGAGGGTCCAGTCAATTAAAGTGTATGGTGTTCATGCCAGAAGACCAGGGCTCAGTTCCCAGAGCCCACAAGGTGGCTCACAACCATGTATATCTACAGTTCCGGGAGATCGGATGCTGTCTTCTAACCTCCTCAGGCACCAGACACACAGGGCGCACATGCACACATTCAGCAAAACTGTCATACACAAGAAATAAAATTAAAAATGTAGTTTTTAAAAAGAGAAAAGTGAGGCACGTCCAGGGATTTAATATCACTTTTATTATGTTTAGGGCTGAGTATAAGTTAGGGTGTTAATTGAAGACAGTGTTTACATGTTAGAGTGTAAACTAGTAAATCCTCATCACTTTCTTCCGGAGACAGAGTTTACTCTATGAAGCCTCAGCTGTCCTGGAATTTACTCTGTAGACCAAGCTGATCTCACACTCAGAAATCTATCTGTCTGCTTTTGCCTTCCTAATGCTAGAATTAAAGACATAGACTACCTCAACGCACTCCTTCAGACTCATTTTCAAAGGTACAGTTGTATTTTTATGTTATCGGGTTTTTTTTACATTATATATTGTATCTTATTTAATCTAGTTTTGGCAAATTAAGAGTTGGTAGAATGGGAAGGACAGGCTGAAGCTTTTAATACTAGAAAACCTCAGCTCACCAGTTGGGCGTATCACCAATAACAATTTTTTGAAATTTGTATCACTCGAAGAAAACGAGTGCATGACTTCTTGAATTTCTTCATCAGGTAACTTAGACCCGCTATGATATGAACACGAGCTGTTATTGTCAATCAAATTTTTAGGTTAAAAACTTGTCAGATACAATTCCTTTTCTTAGGAGGAGCTTAAACCCCAGCTCCACGCCCAGCCTGGAGGTGGAGCTGCATGGCAACTCCTAGCCTGGAAGGTTCCAGTTAGAGTTAGTCAGACTCAAGTTGTGCAGAAGTCACTGCGTGCAGCCAAGGGCCACCAAGCTCTGCCGAGGCGCCGAGCGTAGCCGAGGACTGACGAGGACAGCCGAGTGTTTCCGAGGGCCTCCGAGCGCTGAAGAACCTGGCTGAGAGCTGACCTGGGTAGAGCGCTATGGGTCCGGTGGTTGAGCGGCCGGCCGCGGCGGGCACGAGCGGCGTCGCCGAGCTGGAGCGGTTGAAGCAGCGCGCGGCGG